GGGATGGTGATATCTCTGAAAGTTCTTTTATTGTACAAGATTGCTTTAGCTAGCCTTTTTTTTTTCATATGAAATTGAGTATTCTTTTAAGGTCCGTAAAGAATTGTGTTGCAATTTTGATGGGAATTATATTGAATTTATTGATTGTTTTGGCAAAATGACCATTTTTACTATGTTAATCTTACCAATCCATGAACATGGGAGATCTTTTCATCTTCTAATATGTTTTCAACTTCTTTCCTCAAAGACTTGAAGTTCTTGTCATATAGGCCTGTTGTTTGAGTTTTCTGTCCCACCCAGTCCTTGTCCTGCCTGGTTTCTGTAGTTAAGTCCCAAAGAAATCACACAGAGGTCTACATTAGTTATAAACTGATTGGCCCATTAGCTCAGGCTTCTTATTAACTCTTATAACTTATATTAGCCCATTCTTGTCCATGTTAACAGCTTGGTACCTTTCTCATCAAGGCAGTCATATCTTACTTGCTCAGTGGTTGGATCAGGACTGCAGTCTAGGACTTTCTTCTTTCCAGAATTCTCCTGTTCTCATTGACCAGCCTCTACTTCCTGTCTGGTTGTCCGGCCTAAACTTCCTGCCTGGCTACAGACCATTGTCCCATACCATTTTCCCCTCTTTAAAAAAAAAAAAAAACCAAAAAAACAAGAACTCTGAATCTAATATCCTTTGTTTAGCTTTTCTCCTGACCATTAGCCATAACAACTTGTAACCAACATTCTAAACAAAGGAAAATATCCATAGTTCATTTTGGGGGGGAATGTGGGCACAGTTTTCCAGACTACTTTCTGCTGGTTGGGGGCACTGATAATCTTATGGGGACCTAAAGAAAATTTAGAATTATGATCAAGTCCTGACTGGAGTATCCTGTGAGGCTGGTGTGGGACAATAGGCAGCGTATGAATCTGTGGCTTAGGATCTTTGAGGCTCTCAGGCTCACAAGGGATAAAACAGGCAAAGTGGATTCAGACCTTACCTTTAGCAGAAAAACTTCCAGGTTATTCTTTCCCAAGTACAGCTTCTATAGACGTATAAGATGAGATGTCTTCATTGAGAGGGGAGTGAGAGAGGCTAGTGAGATGGCTCACTGGTTCTGAACTCTGGCTGCTCCTCCAGAGGCTGCAGGTGGATTCCTAGCACCCGCATACTGCTCACAGCAGCCTTTGACTCTGGCTCCAGGGACTGTCTTAATTCGGTTTTCATTGCTGTAAAGAGACACCATGACCACGACAACTCTTTTAAAGAAAACATTTGATTGGGGTGGCTGTCTTACAGTTCAGAGGTTCAGTCCATTAGCACCATGGTGGGGAGCATGGTGGCGTGCAGGCAGATGTGCTGGCTACAAACCTCAAAGCCCACCCCCACGGTGACACACTTCCTCCAAGGCCATATCTACTCCAACAAAGCCACACCTCCTAATAGTGCCACTCTCTGAGATTATGGGAGCCAGTTTCATTCACACCATCACAGAATCTGACACCCTCTTCTGGCCTCCAGGCAAACATTCATGCACATAAGATTAAAATGCTTTAAATAACCACATACAAGGGAGGATTGAAATGCTGGTCTCTTTCCTTTACGGTACCTGAAATCCTCAGGAGAATTCCGTGAAGGATGCTGATTTAGTTAGCTTTCCAGGCAGACATGAGAAATGATTAGTACCATTCCAGACATGTAGACACTGGTTGTATTTCAAAACTATTAACAACAACAACAAAGTTTTTCATAGTCTTTTATCCTGGCATATAAATCTTTACAAGCATGTCTTTATCTATAATCCACAAACTATCGCGCTGCTCAGCTTCTTTGGTCTTCGTCTGCATCAGAGAGCCCCGAGGGGCTGGTTCTCTGAGGGAAGATCCTACATTTTCTCAGCAAGAGAAGGTTTGGTTTCCTTCAGAGATAGTACCTTGATTCTTAGAATTGTGCCTGGTCTTAGTTGGTGCACAACCCTGTCATTCCATTGTGTTTTTTTACACTGATCCTAAGAGCTTGTTCCTTCAGAGAAGATGGAAGGCGGGAGAGAGGGAGGGAGGGAGGGAGGGAGGGAGGGAGGGAGGGAGGGAGGAAGGAAGGAAGGAAGGAAGGAAGGACCGCAAAGAAGCAGAAACCATCAAGCCAAGGTGAGGATCTCCCCGAGCCTACCAGGGAACAGCCCCAGCTGGCTTCTGACTGTGTCCCTAAGGGACCCTTCTAGGTTAATTAAAAACAGGCCGCCTCTGCCAGGCCTCTTACTGACACTGCTAAACGTAAGATGGGAAAGTAGCCTGCATCCTCAATGATTTAATCCCATTACGTTTGGGGAAGAAGGTGCTAATAAAAGACGTGGTGTGGCTCCGAGCACTGCCTGGCACCATGTCTTCTCTAGAGCCAGCTTCTCTATGCTCTAGTAGCCAGGTCTGGGGAAGAGAAAAGAGCATCAACCACATAGTAAACTGGGGCTGGGGAAGAGTCCACGAATCCCATTGGCTAATTGGTGCCCAAAGAACAAATCTAACCTGATCGCTGTAACAAAGATTTTGGAAAGGTCCGTCTTCTAACTGAAACCTCACCCCCAGCCCAGTCTCTGGCACTGGTTACGGTCTTAGGAGGCTAGCTGGAGCCCTGGAGAGGGAGCTGTTTGTAGGTTGGCGGCATTTCTCAGAAACCAGTTCTACTTCTTTATCCTTACAGCCAAGGTGCAGGCTTCCTCTCCATCCTGCCTGGTGTTTGCTCCATCTTTCATGTCTGTCTCCACTGAAGTGGGAGTGTTAGCCATCAAAGTCCCAAGAAGGGGAATTTCATTAGCCCAGGCCTTTGAGGCCCAGAGTTCTTGAAAGATCAATGGGTTCTAACAGATTGCTAGGGCACTGAGGAGACAAGGGCTTTCAAGACAACTACTAAGACATTGCTGGGGTGCCTGTTCCCATCTACACAGTGATCCCTGAAAGGTAGGGCACTTTTGGGGTGCAGTGTGGTATCCTCCAAGCTCCTTTCTAAAAGACGGGTGAGCTGTGGGAGGACCAAGCTGATCAAATACTTCTCTTTTTAAAGCCTTATGCTTTCTCCATGTTTGCCTCCATTGTGGGCCCTTGGGGAGGCCTGCCCCAACCTCGTCATTACAATCCTAACATCCCATCATGCCACAGTCACCTTTGCACGCTCCACAGCACTCTTACACTCATCCTGTGTGCCAGACATGCAAGGTCCTGCATGCAAGGGCGTCTGCCAGCTTTGGTTCATAGTAAAAACCCCAGAGGACAAAGGCAGAGCCAGGCCCAGCTCCTGGTGTGGCGTACTCACACAGAAACCTTCTGGTGAATGAGAGAGCTGGGTAAATGAATGGAACTGAGAACGGGGGGGGGGGGGGGGGGGGGAGGGGGGGGGATCAACTAAGGGCAGGGTCAAGTGTCTGCAGGACCTTCCAAATCTGTAAGTCCCTGCATTTGTCTGCGGTGTTGGCAGATAAGCATCGTGGAGGGGGGGGACGCTATTGGCAGCTGTTGGCAGATTCAGAACCTTTAGTGAGTTTTGCAGAATGTTAAACTTTATATACAAATGCGCGTTTACAGAGGCAGAGAGAAGTGGAAGGGAAAGGAAGGCAACGGAGGCTCTGAGGACAGAGAGGGACATTGCACAGAGAAGCACCCTAGGAGGAAAGCGAGAGAAGGCAGCTAGGTGGGGACAGCCACTCTGGAACAAAATCTCTACACAAGACCTTCCAGTAGCACCAGCGGTGGCGTGTTGAGCGGCTAGGTGTGACTGCCACAGTCACAGAAGGAGGGTGTCCTGGCCAACCACACTTTAGTGTAAGTGGAATGAAACGATCCCAAATAGGCTACAATGGAGCTGTTTGTGCAGAGGAAGGCGATCAATCACCCACTGAGATGGAAGGGGAACATGCCTGGCTTCCCGCAGGACGGTCACATACCCATCTATCCTAGTACTTGAGTCAGGGTTGGGGGCGGGCAGTCAAACTCTCAGATGAGAAAGGCGTGTGAATGAAGCCCCTGACCCAGGAAACCCAAACACATGACCAAGCTGGTGGGAACTGACAGCGACCTCAGGAGAGCATCTCCCAAGATGCTCCTGGGACCAGTCACCAACACAAGCAAAGCAGCCTCAGCAGAGATACAAGCAGATCTGAAAGAGATCATAGTTCCTGGAAAACAAGCCCTTCCTTTGTTTATAAAATGGTCCTCAGCTGACACCTCTGCAAGTCCTGAGGTGGCCAAGGCCTGTCCTGGGAAGAAGCTGTGCTGCTGTAAACTGACGGGAGAGGGGGGCTGAGGTCCAGATACAATGTTGTTACTGCTGAGGTCAGATATGGCACTACTGTTGCTGCTCTGAGATTCCTGAGCTTATGAGCTCATAAAGATGCTTAGTGTGGTGTGTGTGTAGTGTATTGTGGTATGTGTGTGCATGGTGTGGTGTAGTGTGTATGTGTGTATGTATGTATGTGTGTGTGTAGTGTGCTGTGGTGTGTGGGGGGGGTTGATATGTGTGCATGGTGTTTGTGTAGTGTGTGGGGGTGGGTATTTTGCCAATGGTTCCATCTTGCATTAGTCTGGAGTTAACCAGAAAGCGTAGAGATCTCAGCTTCCCCACTTTAAACAATCGCTCCCTCTGTGGCCAGCAGCTCAGATAAAGTGCTACAGCCATAGGAGTGATACAGATGAGGCCTGAGAGAGACGGCCGACTGGGTGCAGGGAAGGGTCACTATGCCCCTCTCACAAGCACCACTCAGATTTTAACCTAGCCGCCGGGAACGCCTTGACGCATTTACCTCAGTGCAGCTAGCAGTTGTAGTCTTTTTGCCAGTTGGCACTGCCGAGAGCATCACTGGTGACAACGTGTTCTGCTGGCCTTGCTTCTGCAAGGGGTGACACGTCCTGTCCTCTAGCAAAGCCTGGGGGCAGATGCAGCTCCCCCAGCACTGGCACTTGGTAAAGCTACCGTGGGTTTGAACCATGCTGCCACATCACCACCCTGTCGCTTCTGTCCCTAGGCAATCTACAAAATGGTGTCCTCTGTCATGAAAATGCCTGAAGATGAATCAACCCCAGAGAAAAGGACAGAAAAGATCTTCCGCCAGATGGACACCAACAGAGATGGTAGGAGGCTGGAGGGCTTGGCTTGGGCTGGGCTGTTGGTGGGGTCCAGGCAGGGCATCTCCACTAGAGGGACCTGACACAAGGTGCTCTGTGAGAGCCACCTGGCCTGGACAGAAGGAGCAGAGATGGGTGGACCCCAGAGCTGGGTGGACGCTAGAGCTTGGTGGACCCCGGAGCTGGGTGGACCCCAAGCTGGGTGGACCCCAGAGCAAACCGCGGAGCTGGGTAGAGAGGGTGCTGCGATAAATGGATGCACAAACCAAAGCCGACAGGAAAGCTGAGTTCAAACAAAACAGACAAGTCTGGTGTGGTGGTGACAGGCAGACCACATGTTTGAGGACAGCATGGGCTCCGCAAGGAAACCGTATCTGTAAAATAAGTAAATATAAAAATGATTTCTGTACATGTGACTGTCACACAGAAAGCACGAGACCCAAACAACTGAGAAACAGTGACTTCTTTTTGGCATAACTATGCCTGTATGCTTTTTCTGGGGCATGGCTTCCGCTAAGGGCTTGCTTGTTATTCAACTTTAGTTCAAAACTATTTTGGCATTCTTACTTTTCATGCCAAACCTTGAAATGCTATCCAGAAGTACCTGAGTTTATGGTGCTAAGTCAAGGCTGACCCAGTGTCAAAAGCTTCACAGCTCTTTAAAAATTTCTATCCATTTATTATTTATGTGTATGTAGAAGCATGCCCATATGAGTGTGTGTGTACCACAGTGGTCAGAAAAGGGTATATGACCCCTGGGAACTGGAGCTACAGGTGGGTGTGATCTGCCCAACATGGGTGCTGGGAATCAAACCCCGGTCCTCTGCAAGAGCAGTAAGTGGTCTTGACCGCTGGGCCATCTCTCCAGACCCTCATTTTTAAAATGTAAATTTTATTTTCTTAATTATGCTGTGTGTGATATTAGACATCTTATTACATGACCTGTCTGTGCACGCATGGAGGTCAGAGGACAGCTTCATGGGGTCAGTTTCTCTCCCTTCACCTTTACGTAGGTTTCAGGGGTCACATTTGGGTCTTCAGGTTTGTGCAGCAGACACATTTACCCAGTGAGCCGTCTCTCTGGCCCCAGGTCTACAGCTCTTGGTACTTAGCAAGTCTCCTCAGCGGTGCAGAAATGAGCCAGGCCCAGCTTCACATGCTGTGTCCAAGAGAAGGGTCCGCATACAGCAAGCCGGGCACCAGCTCCCTGCGAATCTTGGGTTGTGAGGTACAAGCCTGTCTGTTTGCTGTCTCCTCAACAGAGTGGCCTCACCTATTCCCCTCACGTGCCTCGATTCACAGCACGTCATTTGTTTTGCAGAGTTCAAGCAAACATGGGGTTGTTTTAACAGCTAATGAACTTGCTGATGTTGAACCACAGGTTCTTGTAGTCTGGGGAGCATGGTGGCTTTAAAATCCAGCCTTCTCCTGAGAGAAAGATTAAAGGATGGGAGACAAACCACCTCTAATATGTGGCTCACAGGCGATGGCAGAGTCTCGCCACTGGTACTGTTTCTACAGGACCGAAGGGCCCTGGCTGGGTTACTGTTCCCAACGCAGCTGACAACACTGCCCCAGCTTTGCTAACAAAAGATTTGTTTAAATAAAGAAAGCTATAGGGATGGAAGCAGAAGGGAAGGAGAAGTAGGGATTGCTGAGCACCTGGAAAATGCACTGCTTTAGCTCAGGCCTTGGCTTCAGGGCATCGGGGCTGAGTCTGCTGTCCCTTCTCACCAGGAGAGCAGACTTCACATAAAGCCTGCTGCCATCATAAGTGTTCTTAGTTAAGTCTTTGCATTTCACTTCTGGCCTCTGCAGCTACAGGCAAGTCAACATGGGCGTCTGCGCAAGAGGGCAGAGAATTTATGTTGGGTACCAAGTGTTCTAGAGCTTGTGGTTCCTGCTGCCGGCGCCTGAGACTTCAAGGCGTTCAAATGGTACTTCTGCTCCCATCACCTCAGGCTCAGCCTGCAGTCCCTGAGCTGAGGAGGCCCTGAAGTGCACGGGCCTGGAGGAGCCTGCCAGGCCTGGTACCTGTCTCTGGAAGTGTGGATAGGAAAGGAAGGGCCAAGCTGGGCAAAGGTGCCTAGGAGTTCTGTTCCCAACTGACCAGTGAATGAGTCCCTTCATTCAAAGGGCCACTATGGATGTGACAGGAATGGGGAACACAGCCCCTGACCACTTCTCCACGATGACAATGACACAGAACCCTGACTGGAAGAAAGTTGAGGAAAAGGAGGGATACCAGGATCCAAGTTCCTGAGGTGGCAGAGGCAAGAGGTCTAGCGCATAAAGGAAGCCCGGGCTAATAGTAAGAGTCCATATCAAAAAAAGGAAGAAAAGAAGTGGGGGGAAAACAGGTCCCTGGCTTCCATCTCAAGCCACCTGGGTCGAGGGACCAGTGGGTCACCCTCTATCTAGAACACATTCCTTTATTCTCCTTTGGATGAAGACACTATTGCCTTCAAACACTTGTTCAGAAGAACCTACATTCCTGCTCTGCCCACGCACACCTGTGCACAGCAACCAAAAACTTCATGGCCACAGCCCTGCATCTCAAGAGCCTGCAACTCAAATGAGGGGGCGGGGGGGGATACTCATTCTTCAGGCACTGAGTGGGCCCCTCCAGGTAGGCAGAGGCAGAAGAGCAGAGATTCAGATCAGGGTGAGCCAACACCCTCTCCAAGCCGTGGGTCCTGGTCGTGGTAGCTGATGTCATGGCGAGCAGAGAAGTGGGGTCCCTTCCTCATGATCTCCTGGCTTCTAGGGAGGGACGCCGTGGGCTCCTGCTGCTCCCGTACAGCACCAAGGGCTGTGGGCTTGCACTCACTGGTCCTCTTGCTTTCTAGGAAAGCTCTCCCTGGAAGAATTCATCCGAGGGGCCAAGAGCGACCCATCCATCGTGCGTCTCCTACAGTGCGACCCCAGCAGTGCTGGCCAGTTCTGAGCCGTGCACCCCAAGGACGCTACAGCTGCTTGTGTCTTCTGATTAGCGTTGAAACTTTTTTTTTTTTTTGGCCAAACAATATTGATGGTGACACTGTCCCCTCTTGGGTCAGATGTGCCCTCCTGTGACACCTTTGCCTCTTGCTTCTTTTGTCGTGGATGCTTTGGGGGGATGCCCAGAGCCCCGTGTGCTGTGGAGAGCATGAGCACACTTTGTGGTGTCCCTGCCAGATGACTTTTTATCTTACCATTATCTCCACCCCCTTTGATTGTAATGTCTCTATCTTAAAACCCAAGGCTTTGGGGGCAAGAGAAGGGAATTCCACCCAGCGCATAGGGGCTCTGTTTGAAAGACAGAAGAAGAGGTTATTACAGGGAGCTGGGACATTACCACAAGAGGCTCACTCCCCTCTCTACCCCAGCAGGCTGTAGTTTCTAAGCTGTGAACATTTCAAGGTAAATTAACAGAGGAGATGCAGGAAGACGGCTCAGCTATTTTTTTCCCACAGGTTTACACGAGTTGAGCTAATACGAGTTTCTTTGAAAAATCGGACACAGATGGTAACATTCTAAAACCAGACCCATCTAACTGCCTACTTGTGATTTATAAAAAGACTGCTGTATATAAAACATTGGGTATTGCAGACCAAATCAAGTGTTTTGCCTTGTAAATGCATGTCTAGTGATTGCTGATACAATCTTACTCCCGAAGACTATTCTTAGTAGCTGATCATGAAGCCAGCCACAATGAATGTCAATGTCTTTGCACAAATGTACCCAGTCAACAAGTATATTTTATATACTCTGTAAAATTACGAAGGAATGACGGATGACAAAGGCCCAGCTTTGATGTTTGAATGGTTTTCCGGAGTCAAGGAGGCTGGAGGACATGAGGAAGGCAGTTTTCCAAGCGTCTTTTCCGGCACCCACAGCTCCACACGGACAGGGGCCAAGGCCCAGCAACGCACCAGCGGCGAATGCAGGCGTGATGCGTTTCTAAGCAGATGAATGTTCAATAGACTCGAAAAACAAACAGGACTTCCTAACAGTTTGACCCACATCCTTGGTGGGGGAGCCAGATCTAGAATGTTCATTTTTCCTGCCCGCAGGTGTCCTTCAAAGAGTCAGTTGTAGGACAGCTAGGTAATTCACCCACTCCAAGAGCCAGCGAGGGGGCCTGCAGTATCCAAGGCCCATGGGGATCCCTCACCGCGTCACTCACATACACTGCTTTGGAATGAGGGCTGGGAATAGGAACTTCTGGCCCCTGGCAAGCCAAAGCCCCACAAACAGCTCAAGGGTGTCTGTGCGGAACCTGCTTAAGAGGAGGCAGGAAGGTCTCTGTCTGCTGCCAAGCCACTTCCTGTAGAACAAGAACCGCATAAAGATAAACCTGACCGCAGGGACAGTGTGCCGAGAGGTTCCTGCCAGCCTGTAGCCTCCCCCCCCGCCCCCGCCCCCATGACACTCATACCTGGCAGAAGTTCAAACTTGAATGGTGGATTAAAATGAATCACTTCATAGGTTGAAATTTTGAGACCTAGATTTTGTAATCTTAATTTTTCCTAGTGTTGTTTCCTCACATTTTGTACCAAGGCTTGCCAAATCCTGTGGGCCAGATGGCAAAGTCTGCTTTTGAGCAGCAGAATGAACCCAAATTGTAGAAAAGACCCAGCACAGCGGTCACTGGGAACTGGACTCACACAGCCCTCTCTGAACTGAGGACTTGATTCCTCTGTCTGGTCTGATGAGTGTCATCAGTGTTGGAGAATCCTCAAGGGGCCGCCTCCAGCTGAGTCAGAATTGGGTTTCCTAGAACTCAGAGCCAGTGTGGGAACTAGAAAAAGTGACTTCCAGCTATAGGGAAACGAAGAGCCTGAGGCATAGGTTGTGAGCCCTGCGGTCCCCAGAAGGCATGCAGAGTATCAGAAATGGCTAGCCACACAGACACAACACACCAGGGCCGTTTTCTCCCCTCTTCTCTTTCCCACCTCTCCTCACACAGGTATGGGCATTCCTAACTTTATGCATTTTGACCAAGGGACTTCATAGCACCCAGACAGCTGGGTGCCTGAAGACACATCCCTCCGGTGAGGCATTGCTCCGGCTGCGTCCTGGGGTAGCTGGAGGAAGTGGAGTCTGATTTGTTTCCAGTAGAGGCAGCCTGTGCTGTCCACGGGGCAGGACTAAATGGCGTATGACTTGAAGGACGCTTCAAAGTTGACTGTTCATACCTCGCTTAAGATGGAGAAGGGTGCTGTGAGTGCTCTGGCACCCCAGCAGTACACCCAGGGGGACTGTCTACAAATGAATTTAATAATATGTATGTCATACTACGTGGTGTGGTCCCGTTCTCAGTTGATTGTATAGCTCTTGCCTGGCATTAAAGCATGTTAGTTATTTAATATCGTTGTCTGGAACCTGAGATTTTCCTCACTAAAACTACCCCAGCTGACTGTGTCTTAAGGGGGTGGGAGAAGAGTTTTGAAGCATTGTTGATCCTTGTATGACTTCCTTCCTTCCTTCCCAGGTTGGCCTTCACTCCCTCCCATTTCCTCTCCTTTCCCAAACATGAGGTACAAAAGCAAAAACCCTGGCAAACTCCTCCTCAGTAAGATCAGGGAAAGTCTGAAGAAAGCAATGTAATCGTCTCTCTTTCCACTCTGTCAGGGAAGATTCTGTGAGGAGGTGACAGGATGGAAAGTCACATTCTGGTGCTCTCACTGGCCTCGATGGCAGCCCAAAAGGCTAATGCTGTATGAACAGAGGCTCCCTGGAGTAGGAGCTCCAACAGCCCCGTCAAAGGCCATGTGGACCTCGGGAGAGCAGATGTGGAGAAATCTTTTCCTACTGCACACGTTAGTCTCTACATACAAGTAGTCATGCATGGCGGTGACGGTGGGAAGGTGGCCCGAGGCCCTAAGGAGCCTGCATACTTACAACCCAGCGATTTCCACACATTAATGCCCTGGAGGTGCCTGTTGCCTGGGAGTCTCCTGTACTGGGCGGCGTTGATGTGTGGCGCAGTCCCGTGAGTGGCCCATGGTCTCAGAAATCCCTAGGGATGCGAAGACATTGCCAATAAGGAACTAACCACTAGGCGACTCAGAGCACCCAGACCTTGGGAAGGCTAACTACATGAATTGACCTGGAGTAACTGACATTTTTGTGTTTCTCTGGAAGAAATGGTGAGGACCCTTAAAAGTGCAAGGCAGCTGGACTTGCTAGCCCCTACCCTTAGCAGAATATTCACCATTATGGGGCTGGAGAGATGGCTAAGAGGTTTAGAGCACTGGCTGTTCTTTCAGAGGTTCTGAGTTCAATTCCCAGTGCCCACATGGTGACTCACAACTATCTGTAATGAGATCTGGTCCCCTCTTCTGGCGGGCAGGGATACATGCAGGTAGAACACTGTATACATAATTAATAGATAAATCTTAAAAAAATATTCGCCATTATGCACAAGATTGAGCCCATCAACATGTCATGGATGGGAGTGGAAGGTAGGGATGGGGGGGGGGGCAAGACTCCACCTCTCCTGAGGAGCTTTTGCAGTTAACAGTTGCTGGGGATGGTTAAAATGAAGAGGGTAGGAGGGGGGCACAAGAGGAGGTAATGAGGGATGAACATGACCAAATTCTACATGCATGCAAATAAGATGTAATTACCACATGCTAATAAAATACTCACCAGTACACGTTGCGCCCACGAAGACAGACAAATGGCCAGTCAGCCGTCGCCAGGCTGAAGGTCTTCAATGGCGGCAGCTCTGGGTTGGGCTCATGCTGAGCTATCCCAGTCAGTGCAGGTGTGGAAGGCTTGGAAGAGTACGTGTGAGTTGGGGAGGCGTGGCTAGCAAAGAAGTTGCCAGAAGAGGAGTACTTGACTCAAGATCAGTTGTGAATTTCTGTCCTGCCTCAAACACCACTCTGAATACCTTAGCTCTCACCCAATGGCAAGTCGGAAATGTTCTCTCCCAAGTGGTACGTAACGGATATTTGACGCCCAATGAACAAGAGCGGTGTGCCACCTGGAGCGTCCTTTCTCCACATGGCTCCCCTCTTCTGCTTCGGGCTTATCTAAGGCCCCAGCACCTTCCCTCAACTGTTTCCTAGTGCTAGCCATCCACCGACGGAGAGGAACCTAGAAGTACAGAGCTGAAGGACGCTTGGGAACAAGTGGAATGGAGCACCAGGAAAATGACCCCAGCTCAGGGATCTGGGGCAGGGGGTTGACAATTACAGTTCTCTGTGACAGCCACAAGAAAGGGGAAGATGTGGTGAGCAACCAGGCAGGTGTGAAGATAGACATAAGAGGGAGGATGTGCATGGTGAGAACAAAAGCTTCCGGCCTATTTCATCCCAGTTTCCATAATAAACACCCCTTACCCTAGGCCTGCTCCTCCCTGCCCCTGATGTGCGTGAGCACAGAGGGCAAGGGTCCCGCTGGGGTTGAAGTCAACCAGGGAAGGCTTTTTTGGAGGCAAGGTTTTAGCGCTGTGCCTGGGGAGAGAAGGGGGCGCTGTAAAGAATGCTAGGAAGGCTGTTTGTTGGGGTGGAGGCTCTTGGGAGATCACTGAAGATGCCAGCTGGGGCAGGGGGACAGTTCTGTAATGTGGTTTGCCACAGGAGCCCTAAGACAGGCTGTACTCTTAAGGGTCAGAAAGTATGGCTATGGAACTGAAGTATGAGCCTTGTGACTTTTGTCTCTCCCTAGAGGTTGGCACATATGTAAAAAAGCATAAAGAATCTCCAGAAATCAAAAGCACCAATGAGAAGGTGCAGGCGGAACCAGTCAAGAGCAACTGTGCTGGGGCCTTCCAGAGCCGCCTGAGGCCTCTTGCTTCCCTCTTTGGGCCTCTTCTCATCTTAGCCTGGCATACCAGGAGGAGGGAGGATTGGGAGAGTAAGTCTATGCTTCCTTGTAGGCAGAATCTAAAGAGCAGTCCAGACTCCAGGTCACAGATCCTCTTCCTGGAAGGCAAAGAGCGCCAGTAGTCACCACAGAAATCGCCAGACGCTGCGGTTTGACTCGTGTGTATATTTATTTCTTCTTAAAAATGTACAAAAAATAAAATAACATTTATAGTTCATAGATTCCCCCTTTCCCCTTTACAAAACTGTTAAGTTACATTTTCTCTTTTTTTTTTAATGTGGGAGCCGATTGTACACATAGATCCCCCTTAACTCATCGTTCAGAAAGGGCCATTCTTAGAATTTGGCACAAACCCTCTGGTCCTGCTGCATTTTCATGACTGTTAGATACAAAGGAAAACCAATGTTGACTCGTTTCGGGCATCACAGGATTCTGCCCCAGGACATGCCTTAGTCTTTCAGGAACTGATTTCAATATGATGACAGCCCACTCACTGTGCCATCTTCTGTTGGTTCCAATTTCTAAACACCAGGGAAGTTTCAACAATGTTAGGACGTGGGACGAAAACACTTTCTTGCTTCATGCATCCCTCATCTTTTATGGATCAAAAACAATAACAACAAAAACTTCTTTATGTGGGTGAGATTGATTCAGGGGACAGTGTCAAGGCAAGCGTTTCCATCCCGCTGGAGTGTTTTTGTTCCGGCAATGAAGCTCAGCAAAGCTCAGCTAGCACAGCAGGGGGCAGACACACGGAAGCCCCAGTGGGCGCTCCAGAACCTGATGCTGTAACACTCTTGTGGCACGCAATGGCTTTCACAAGGACCGCTTAGGGGTTCGGGACAAAGGCAAAGCCAAGCCATCTCTGGCCTGTCTTCAGCCTTACATCAGACCTGCAGTTTTCCAGAGAGACTGAAGAGAAGAGCTGGTAGCCAGTCAGGCGACTACATACCTGTCTTCTCCTTCCTCCGGAGTCCTGCATGCACCCGGAAGGTCTGCCAATCATGTTTTGAGTTAACCCCAAGCAGTGTAGAACATATATTTCCGACAGAGTTACTGTGTCCTAGATCAGAGACCCACTAGTGCCCTGGAGGGTCCCCAAGCTGCTGGTTCAAGGAATGGCTTAGGAGTGAAGATGAGAAACAGCTGAGCACAGGGCTGTGCTGGGGCTCTCAGAAAGGCGGCCCTGCTACCCCTTGGGACACTCTTCACTGCACCTACTGTCCACTCCATTCCATCTCTCTTTAGCTTGGAGAGCAACAGCTGGACTAAAGTCAGCCTTAGCTGCTCCGGGCTTCAGGGGCACGTGGGGCAAGGAGGCAGGAGCCGAGAGCAGAGCCTCCGGGTTCAGACATCAAAGTGCTTCACAAATCTGGGCCTTTCCATGGAAGCTGTCCCATTATCCAGGCCTCCGAGGGCGATTGCGTGGCTACCCAAACTAGTGCTCAGCCCATGGGGACACATACAAGTCCCTAAGTACTGACCTGTCCTCTCAAATCAAAGAGAACAGCAGCCCACGGTGGGGCATGCTTTCGTGACTGTTCAGGGCAGCAGTTTTCTCTTGACCTCCCAAGGGTAAGGAGAGAACAGCCTTGTGTGCCTCCCAAAGCTGGTTTTAGAAGTGCCAGGGCTCCCATGGTTTTCCACAGCCTGCATGGATAACCTCATCTCTTCCGGTCTCCAGAAGCAAGGAGATGCCACACCTGCTATTCACAGCCCAGCCGAGCGGCTGGCTCACTTCGCAAAACTGCAGTTGGGTGTTCAAGGGGGCCACTCGAGATGAAGGACAAGCATGTAAACTGTGAGGCACTTCTGTGTCTGGGATCCCAGTGTCAGCCAAGCAGTTCTGCAGCAGGTCCCAGCGACAGGGCCCCAGAGTAAACCCCTGCAGAAGAAACTTTGCAAAAAGGCTTAAGATGCCCCATACCAAGCTAAACAAGGCACCGGCGGTATGGCCTTGCCCAGACATCTTGCCATGAGATAAAATACGATGGGCTCAAGGAAGTTTGAGGAGAAAGGGCTCCATCTGGAGACAGGAAACAAGGCCTCGGGCATGGCCCAATGAAGAGTCTATCCTGGCACTCACCACAGTCACACAACACCCCCAAAGACCACTTTCCTAGCCTCCTCTTGGATAGAGCAGAATGCTCCTTGTCTCTGGGTATGTGTCTCCTCCAGGCCAGTGGCAGTAAACATGCCCATACACCACAGATAAAATATATTATCACAATATTATGAACAAAATATGTACATGTCACCAGGCATACGTTGTGTTCCTTATTACTGACATAGTAGCGGAATGTCTTCCTGTACATGGCCCAGTGGCTACTTGCTGAGAGATCCCCTGGAGGTATTTAGTAAAATAACCTTCCTCAGAGCTATCTGAAAGTTTGGGGCCAGGAAATGGTGTCCTTCTTACCCCATCCATGAAGACTGCACCAAGAAGTAGCTCATCTTGACCATTCACTCAAAAGATGTGGAGAGCTAAGAGAAACACAGCGGCTTCCCGGGCTCTTCGAGATGGGTGGACCGGCTGTGCTTCCCTTGAAGGAGAAACTCTGGGTGTCTTACACGAAGCCATCAGTAACTGGAGTCCTGGATCAGGCTCTTGGGGAGAAATGGGCAATAAATAAGGGCCTGGCAGGCCTAAAGAAATTTGCTGAGGGGCTCAGGCTTTAGCTCCACGGGGAGCAAGTGGAGGAGCTGAACATTGGCAGTCACCGGGCCTTGGGCCCCGCCCCCTTCCAGCAGTCTTTGTAACAGCCTTGTGAGGTGGGTGAGATGGATCTCCAGGTTCCAGGGCCGCGAGGATCCCATCCATCCCAGGGAGGAGTGCACTGAAGAAAGCTCCTGTGGAGGGGACTTGGGCCAGGGCTCATATCTCCATAAGTGTGATCTTGAAGCCTTCCACCATGCTCTCCATGTTGAGGATGAAGGTGTCCTCATTGGAATAGTGCTCAATGATGTTATCATCCATGTTCACCAGGATGCTGTCAAGGTCGGGGTGAGAAATAAAGCCAGTGAACCCTTCAGGCTGACTGCTCCCTAACCTGCTAGTTCCTTCCCCCAGAACTGCGTTAAAGAAAGCAGAGTCTGAGTTTCCCTGAACTACGTTCATGATCCTTATTGAAAGGGTTCTGAGACCATTTGGTCCAACCCTTATGTCTTTACACATTAGTCAACGGGGCCTCAGAAGTTAGCCGAGTTCCAAACCATCATTGGCTACTGACAGAATCACAGCCCAAATAGTTCGACAACAAAGGATTTTCGTTATGAACCTCAGCTGCCCTTAGCTGAACACATATGTACGGTAAATGACAGTACACACAGCCTCACAGCAACTTGAAAGGCAGGCTCTATCGTCGGTAATTCACAGGTAAGAAACAACCCAGAAAGGTCTGCAGTTCCCCAAGCTCAGCCAGCCAGTGAGGACGAGGTTATGTCTGAAGCCGGCTTTGCCTCACCCCCAAGCTGCCCCACCATCTCGCCTCCACTGCCTACTCCATGGTGGTTTGGTTTCAGGAAAACCACCTTCCAGAGTCTAGCTGTGATTTTTTTTAATTATATTTTGTTTTATACATGAGTGTTTTGCCTGAATGTATGCATGTGTACCATAAGTGTGCCTGGTGCCCTCGGGGTTCAGAGGAGGACATTAATCACCTGGGACTAGAATGGCAGATGGTTCTAAGTCACCATGGGGGTGCTGAAACAGAACCAGGGTCCTGTAAAGAGCCCCACGTGGTCTTAGCCGGTAAGCCGTCCCTCCAGCACCCCTACCTGTGACTGGGAGGTGCTCAAGAGGGTCTCATTCCTGTTGTCAAAGTCTGAGAGGGAATGACTTGCTGAATCATTTGATGCTGGCCTGTGATAGCATCAGCTTGCTCCTTTTACAGGCAAAACTACCCGTGTTTCGTGGGTCACTGTAAGAATACAGGCCCGTGCACAGCACTTCACACAGACACAGAGGCTCTCTAGCCAGCAGGACTTGAGGAGTTGCCCACAGCATCCACTCAGTTGGAACTGAGTTTCCAACAAGAGCTTAAGTAGGATGCTTACTCAGTCAGCCAAGGATCCGATTTCAGAGCCCGGAAATCCCAGGTCATGTTTCCTTCATGCAGAGGGCTCAGAGAAGAGTTCAAGTAACTACTCTTAGAGGAAGCCCTAGGAGGGCCTTGAAAGGGGCTGAGCTGAGTGAAGGTCTTGAGCCCTGAGGCTACAGACACCCCCATCCCCAATCTGTGAGGCCTGGAGCACAATGCTTAAACCAGCCCTGGGCTTCTTTTCCTCATCCGTAAGCTCGTACATTAGCAATGAGAAACAGGGAACTCAGCACCTCTGACCACCCAACCAGCAAGGACCAATTGTTTCTTAACAGCATGGGCAAGCAGGTCTGACGGCCATTGGAGAAGGCTTCATTAATGATTACATCCTCTCATCCCCTACATCCTCAACCAATCTGTTCCTACCGTGTCGCTCAGGAGCCAACACCAAGAGTGCTGACCTCTTCATTTTCCCAGTGTCCCCACCGCCCCTCTATCCCACCGCCCCTCTATCCCACCGCCCCTCTATCCCACCACCCCTCTATCCCTCCGCCCCTCTATCCCACCGCCCCTCTATCCCACCACCTCTCTATCCCTCCGCCTCTCTATCCCACCGCCCCTCTATCCCTCCGCCCCTCTATCCCTCCGCCCCTCTATCCCACCGCCCCTCTATCCCTCCGCCCCTCTATCCCACCGCCCCTCTATCCCACCACCTCTCTATCCCTCCGCCTCTCTATCCCACCGCCCCTCTATCCCACCACCTCTCTATCCCTCTGCCCTTTTAACACTGTCTGTACAGGAAAGCATCTCAGGGGACACATTGACAGTACACTGTGGGTTTCCCTGCCTCAGTCACTAAAGAGCTTTAAACGGCATCGTGAGCCACAGATAGAACAAGATGTTAAAAAAAAAAAAAAGTACCATTTTAAAAATGCACCTTCTAGACATGGAAGCTAGCGAGGTTAGCATCTCTCTTACCCCTTTTTGCTCTTCTTATAAAGCTTTGTGATTTTCTCCACTGGTAGTCCATACTTCTCGGACAGCTGAAACATGAATAACAGGCAAGCTGGTCAGCAGGGGACAGGGGCACAGGGAAAAGCAATGTAGAACATTCCAGCTCAGCACACATTGCACTGGGCACAGCACAGGCTCCCCTAACGAGACAAGTTGGAAAACCTCAGTTTCCCTGAACTACCCAAGCCTCTGGCTCTGAGAATCAGTAAAATAAGGTTCTGAAAAGTGAATAAGTCCCAGTTAGCAAATGGTGGGGTCTCAACCTCACTAACTATGTCCCCGACTATTCTCATCATGTCGTCTTTCCTCTGCCCTTGGCAGGAAGAGAAAAAGAAACACGCACTGCAGCCCTGATATGAGCACCTTGCCTGTGCGGGCTCAGGGTTTGTATCTAGTACCACCCCGATTTTGACTTTCTCAAAGCAATCAGCAAAACAATCTTGATAAAAGTGGAATTTTTGACTGGTTTATATCTTTTTTAAAAAAGTGTCTAATCACAATGTTGGATTAAGCAGGTAGCCATACCTCAGAACAGATTCCAGGTGAGCCAGGTGTATGTAGTAGCACATACACACCTGCGACCCCAGCACTAAGGCCAGAGATGTGAGCATCTGAGTTCAACTGAGCTGCGCAGTGCGCTCCAGACAGCCTCAACAGGGAGAAAAACAGTTCGGGGAGATAAAAGATTTATATGAAATTTTTATATAAAATTTATATGATTTTTTTATCTGAAAGAAGAGACCCTGAAAGTACAGGACGTAGTAAACATGAGCTGACTGTACGTATAACTATCATCTTAAAGTACAGTTTCCTAGGGAGACATGAAACCTGCAGAACAAGGTTAGATATTATTAACAGTATGGAATGTCAAAATATCAGTAGATCAAAACCAACCACAAAGAAAAATAACATCCGGGAAGCATTTTTAAGATGCAAACAACAGACGCGGCGCAAACTGCGGTAAGTTGACAAAGACTGGATAGGGAGCAGGCTAGGGGAGAAGCCACAACAAACAGCACTTCACAGAATAAAATATTGTGTAATGGGCGTCTGGAAACTGTGCTGCACTTTTGTTTAAAATCTTCCAAGTGAAAGAAGAGTGGGATAGCACTTTTAATTTTTCAAACTATCAAGGAGGCAAACGAGGAGCCAGAGAGGCAGCTTGGCAGGCAAAAGCATTTCTGATGGTCTGGTGCCCCCTCCTGGCTTCCACGAGGACCTGCGCACACAGGGCAGACACACATCTAAAACAGAGCGAAAGTGAAGTGGTACTCTAGCATTGGTCGGAGCATGAGGTCAGCAGGGTTCGGGTTCTGGAGATGAGACAATGAAGCACAGCCTCCCAGGAAACAAGTTTGGCCAAGGCAAAGCTTTTAAAGCCTAAGCGTCTGAGCCACAGACCCCTTGTCTAGTGATCTTACAGGAATACTCTCACACTCAGAGATGTTCTGAAGATCACTGTTTATTAGAGAGAAAACTTAACAAATATTCAAATGTCTTAATATTTTCTTCACAGACCTCATTTAAAAATTTGGGAAGCTTATATTGCTTACATTTTTTTTTAAGATTCTTGGCATATTATGTGGGGACAAATAAGTGAAAATCTGTCTATACAGTATAATCTTTTCCTCATTTTTAACCTTTACATATGTTTAAATGTACAGAAAATATTGAAATGGCATGCCAATTTATGAATGGTGCTTCCGGTTGATAAATGGTCCGAGCCAAGCTTCCTTTACTTTGTGTAACTCTGCAGCCCTTCTTTTTACGATTGTGTCATTTTGTAAAACAAAGTGGCAAGAGCTGACAAATGCCCTCTGGAAAGACCTGCTTCCAAATACTGCCACGCCCTCTCCACCAAAATCACTGGTGGCTCACAGGAAGCTCAGGCAGGCGAGGTTTGAGACCACACTTAGAGCCACAGAGGCTAGAAAGGGGGCTGAAGAGCCCCAGGGGAGAGCAGGCATCCCGGGAAGAGTCTGTCCAGAGAACTTTAGGTTCCTACCCTCCTGTTCCCACCACAGGGCAGAAAGAACTCTGCCACCCTCCCTCTCTGCCCTAAGCCCAGATGTCTTGCTTCTGGGTATGTAGGGGGAAAAGAGACTGGACAAGCAGCCACCTGTCACGTGGGACAGGCCATCCGTGGTCCTGATGAGGCTCCCCACAGCCACAGTCAGCCCGAATGAACAAAATGCTTTGAAAAAGAACAAAAGCAGCACACTTCTTGGCCAGTGAGATAGCTCGAGGGTAAAAGGCTTTTGTTACCAAACCTGACAACCCAAGTCCAATATCCAGAAACTGCAAGACGGAAAGGCAAGAACTCTGAGTCTAGCAAGGTGTTCTCTGACTTCCACGTGCACCGTGACAATGGACGGATAGAGAAACCTTTCTGACGGGAGCATAGAGGCGGCAAAGCATACTGCAGAGCCTGTGCTGGAAGGTTCCCTTTGAAGAGAAAGTAGACCGATGACGAGCAGATAAAAGGCAAAGAGGATGAGCAGGAGCGTGACGTCATGAGAAGCCAAAGTTAAGGAAAAGGGAACAGTCACAAAACTGCGTCCCCAACAGCACCAGGGTAGATATCAGACACCAGGAAGCCTGCAAGTACGGTAGGAGACTTACTTATTTCAGGATTGGAGAAATCTGGCAGATAAGTCAGAATGATTTGATTGATCCAGTTTATATGATAAAATGCAGGCACACACATGTGTATCACATCTCCCAAAGAGACGCTGTCATGTAGTAGGTGACAAAGGCAGGCCACAGTGGGCCATACTCAATACAGTGAAAAAGAAAGCCTGAGAAATTAATCAAAAATGTTTTGCCTTTCAGAAGTATTCCCTTACATGGCTTCCACCCTCGTCTCTCTGTCTCTCTTCCTTCCATTGAGGCTACTGTAAATCAGTCCTCCTGGTGTCCAGATTCGCATATGCAAATCAAAAGGGAGACTCTCTGGTTGGCTAGGTTGGAAAAGTGCTTGCCAGCAACCTAGGCCCTGGGTTTGATCCCCGAGAGCACACAGATTGGGTGTGGTGGTCACACTTGTAATCTCAGGGCTCTAGACCATCCTCTACACAGCAAGTTTTGAAGCCAGTCTGGGATACACTATAGGAGACCCAGGGAGGGAGGGAGGGAGGGAGGGAGGGAGGGAGGGAGGGAGGGAGGGACCCAATAAGGTGGCTAGTTCTGTCCCTTGGGCTCTGGTCTGAATTGAGCTCTTGCTGAAACAATGACATCCTCGTGTGACTTATCTTCCTTACTCATTCTCTGGGCTTCTAGAAGCACTCAGCGAACAGAGCGCGCCCACAGGAACTGCTTGAGAGCGGCCTGCTGCCACACGAGTAAGCTATTTCCTCGGCATGGCTGGCCAAGGCTGCAGCTTTCTACCCTGAGGTTTGCAGGTTCTCAAGGGGGGTGGACAGGAAGTGACCTCAAGGTTGTCCGAACCTCCACACCTGCTACAGCCATGCTCACACCTGAAAATACACTCTTGTGCACATACAAACACACAGATTTTTTTTTTTTTGAGCAAGCAAACCATTTTCTAGATAACAGAGCTACCCCACCCTGTCACGTGGCCTGGCTCCCGGGCTACACAAACAGCCACCACCCCAAACTGTCCATGAACCTGACGGGTACTGGCACCTTCTGACTCAAATGTCAAGACACACCTGAGGAAGATGGGAACACTGCTCTATCTAGATAACAAGAGCACATCTCAGCACTGCCAATAACCATCATTTGAAAGAAAAGGAAATCTTAAAAAGACTGAAAAGGAGGGGCACATGACATGAAAGAGGCAAAGAGACTGTGGAGGTTGCCAGGGAGGACGGGGACAGGAAGTGGGGGGGAGAGGATGAGGGAGGAAAGTCTGCTAAAATTTGCTTTGTTCAAAATCGTTACAGTGACATCTAAAGCCTTGTATGCTAAGGCCAAAAAACTGCAGTGAAATAAGTGGAAGGCATTCATTCTCAAGGCCTTCATACTCCAGCATACATTCTTTTTAAACATATATATCCAAGTAATTTACGGCTGAAGACGGGGGCTCTGGACGGGGAGGTGGAGGCGCACTCTCTAGGGAGGGGAACCCAGTCTTCAGCTATGGAGAAGTCACATGACCCACAATGTCCGCCACCTGCTCCCGAGGAATGTTTGCGCTGCCATGTTAATGCCTTTGGTAGCTCCACTTTATAGGCAATACCAAGGCCACCCTTTTCATATAGCTCACTCAGAAATGTGATAAACAGTGGGACCTATCAGGTAGATGGTCCTGCAGGACACACAGGGACCTGGTCTAGATCTGCGGTACCCACCCCTCAGACACTGAGGACAAAATATACATTGAAAAAAAAACCCTGGTTCACCCCTTCTAGGCCTTCTGCAGTATCTGTTCTTACCAGTTTAAAATTAGAGCTGGGGGTGGTGGCACACACCTTTAGTTCTAGCACTGGGGTTGGGGTGGGGGTGGGGCCAAAGGCAGGCAGATTCCTGAATTATAGGCTTTGTCTACACAGTGAATTACAGGCTGACTGAGGCTTCATAATGAGACCCTGTTTCAAAACAAAATTATGGTTCATTAGGGGGGATATATTCGCTAGGCAGTGGTGGTGTACATCTCCAGCCCTCAGGAGACAGAGACAGGCGGATCTCTATGAGTTCGAGGCCAGTCTGGTCTACAGAGTGAGTTCCAGGACAGGCTCCAAAGCTACAGAGAAACCCCATCTTGAGAAAACAAACCGACATATTCCATATGCTTTCTTGCATTTACTTCTCGGTTGGTTTCTATTTTGTGTGGAACAGAAATCAATGCTCCCCCACCAACCATGACAAAGAAAAAAAAAATCCTACCAAGCCCTCCACGTGTGCTTTTTGGACGGTGGCCTTGCCGCTGTGCTCAGAATGACCTGGGACATGAACTACCACTGCAGGGCAGCCTGAGACACACAGTGCTCACATTCTTATGCTTTATCTTCAGTTTTTCTGATTATCAGTAAGAACTATAGATAATCATCATACCTTCACAATATTATACAACGGTTCGTCTGAATTCTAAACAACCCCATCATTTCCAAAGTGCACTGTGCATCGAGCACTATGCCACCTCCTGCTCCTGTGTCCCCAGCAGCCACGCGCCTGCTTTCTCTCTCCAAGAAGTCATTGATTCTGGATATTAGTGATGAATCGAATCATGTAATAGAAGGTATTTTTGTGTCTCCCTGACCAACTTTACAAATACTCCCAAAGAATCGGAAACAGACGTCTAAACAGAAACGAGCCCATGAACATTCCCGGAAGCGCATATACAATCGCACCCCAAAAGGAGAGACATTGGTCTGTCAGGTGAATAAATGAGGAAATGAACCATGCTGTCCATACAATGGACGATTACTCTGCTAGCTGCAAAAAAGAATGAGATACTGGTCTGTAACACATTCTACCATGCTGGACACCAAGGGAGAAGAGAAACAAAAGGGATGGGCAGGCAACCACGTTGCGTGGCCCTACACATAGGAACTTCTTCACATGGCAATGTTTGGCCATAAGCCCAAATACTGTCCACCAGAACAGCCTCTCAGGCCAGCAGCCACCCAGCAGAGACAAGAGACACTCACTGCTGGTGTCCCCATGACCCTACACCCCTGATCTTCCACCACACTATAGAAGAGGAGAGTGAGCACACAGCACATGCTCATGGCACAGGCGAACCTAGGTGAGGCGTGTGTGCGTGTGTGTCTGTGCATGCGACTCAGGCAGAAACTGAGTTTTCCCTGGGCCGTGTTGACTGAGCCTGCTCGGGGTCAGCAGTGAGGAGGGGAGAATCACTAGATCTTTCCCCTGCACCAACCTGTCCTCACTCCGCTTTGAAATATGCTTCCGTAGCCAGCAAGGCACCACAGAGATTTCAGCTGTGTATACTTGGAAGCCGTGTGCACCTAATTCGGTTTTGTGCTAACAGATGATGAAAACCCATGTTATCCCTCCTCCTCAGCATCTGACCGGGACAATTCATCGGACACCAACAGGAACTGGACAGTTATTCTTAAGAGTAAATCCTAACATGCTGATGACACAGACATGGACATTTCCAAACATTTCAGTGCTTTGTTTTCTTTCTAAAGCTCCTTCTGGAGCCACCCTGGTAGCTGGGCAGGGCTCCTGGGGACTGGAAGGGACTTGTGGCTTACCGCTTCCATCAGGCCCTTCACCGTGGGTGACTTCAGCATCAGCGCGTCGAACACGTCATCATTCTCCTTCCTCACGTACAAAAGCACTGCAAGAGAATGGAAGACCAGTGTGACTGGAGACCCAGGGGACTGCTTTCTGTCACATGGGCATCTCAAGACATCACCTGCTCTGACAGTAGGCTAACTCCTATTGGATGTAAGCGCTCTGCTGCCTGTACCCACGCTGGAGTTTCTCAAGTTGGGCAGGCACAAGGTCTCTATGACTACGTCCATTTGCATCTTTGCTCACTTAGTCAACAGCATTGAAGGCTCCTGGGTACCACAGGCTGTCTATACCAAGAGTCAGGGTTATAATTAGTTCATCCAGCCCTGCATTTAGGGAGTTTGTGGTCCACTAGGAGAGGAAAGGCTTCAGACAATTCAGACACCACTGTGAGAATCATGAAGGGAAAACCATGAGTCAGTGCTTTCCAGGCAGCTCTTGCCTTGGTGTCAGGGTGAGAGCCAGGAAGTGGGGATTCAAGGATCTCCGAGTTGTGAAGATCATGGGAGCATCAAGTCTAGGAAGGGGTGACACTGGGAGGATGACGGGGCTGGGCAGACAACCTACAGGTGCAGAGGGCTGCAAGGGCGATGGGGTACTTCCTGGGACAGTCCAGGAGAATCACAGAGCTGAGTATAAATTCAGCTCAGGCCCTGCCATGGCCATAACGGCTCCATCTCTCCACGCCTGCATCACCTGGACAGAACACTAGGATCTACCATATATGGTCACCTGCAGGTTCTATGAAGTAAGGCCCTGTGGTGAGCTTAGCCTAGGCCCCCACACGGAGACCCAGTGCTCAAGCTACAGAAGCTGTCGGGAAGCTGTTGTGGTTCGTGTTCCTCTGTAGAACTTCTGAATTAGAGAGTCTACTGACTAAGATGGACGGGACAGGGACCGCAGCTCCTGAGCAATGAAAACGGCCCTCAGAGAGGCTAATGCACCTGCACAGACACGGCCACCCTTGCTGCTGCTTCTCCTCATCACCGTGCCCTCCAACTGTGCCCACCGCTCTGGCAATCATGCTGCAGGTCAGTTCTCAGGGGAAAAAAAGCTGGCCACCATCTCTCGGGTGCAGTCCTGTAGCCCAGAAGGCTGACTGTTCTCTTTGTCCCCCACATCTGTCCGCAGCCCAGCTCAAAAACCCCAGTGAGCCTAGATCTCGTCTACAGTCAAATATCCTCCTAGCCACCATCACCGGCTGCGGAAGAACAAGATCTGGAAAGTGAAATGTGGTAAATCCAAACCTCCACGCCCCCAATCCTCCATCCCAAATGTTCCTTGAAGCTGCTGCTTGTTAAGGCCACATGGCCAGGGACTCTGCCCAAGGCCCCTTCCGTGGCCACGAAACATTCAGTTAGGGAAGACAGGAAAGAGGGAGGAGGGAGCAAGGAGGAGGAGAGACTTAGGCACTATAGTGCCTTCTCTTCATCAGATATAAAAATGGAGTGCCAGCCAGGCGATGGTGGCGCACACCTTTAATCCCAGCACTCAGGAGGCAGAGGCAGGCGGATCTCTGTGAGTTCAAGACCAGCCTGGTCTACAGAGCTAGTTCCAGGACAGGCTCCAAAGCCACAGAGAAACCGTCTCGAAAAACAACAACAACAACAACAACAAAAAAAAAATGGAGTGCCAATTAAATAAGCAGACTGACTATGTCACCAAAAATTTACTAATTTAGTCCCTTGAAGCGATACTATATAGTTTACATGCCGGCTAAAACTTCCTAGTGACCAGAGGGTTATCAAAAGAGAAATGTGAGAAAAACACAGAAAAACACTTAGAACACAGACCCTAATTATATCCGGATAAGGAAAGTTAAATTCAAGGGGAAGCCCCAACTGGTGGCTATTATTTACTTGGAAATTCTGCAACTTCTTCCTGAAGCCTCAACACGGGGGGGGGGGGGGGGGGATTTCCAACAGGCTGACCCTATTAAAATGAGCATCACTTGCAAATAACCTCTACTCAAACCATTGCCTTTCAAACATGATTGTCCTGGTTGCTCAGAGGTAACTGGAAGGTGCTAAAGTGTTCTCGGTCTGTGCCAGAGAGGGGCAGCAGCCAGTCGGGCGGCAACAGCCATCCTGGAGTGTATGCTGGGCTACAGACCACTAGAGGGCTTGCCCAGGGAGTTCTCATAGCTGCACTCTGTGGTGTGGCTGTGGCAGCGATCATCCCACCCACCATAGCATCACTGTACACCTCAGACATACCTCAATCAAAGCCAAAGGCAGACAGCCTCTTGTGGAGCCAGATTCTGGCCCAGGCACCCCACAAAAAAATAACAACCAGTAGCGATGGCTTTGGTGCTAATTGTGACCACTTCCTTCTTGGGAAACTTCCTACAGATAACCAGTAGGAGCCGCCACTGACCCTGAATCTCTGAGCCAAGGCAAGAAGCCCAGGGACTTCTCCATCCTTCCCCAAAGTGGAGTTGGGGGGTGGGGTGGGTGCGATTTTCTTTCCACAGGTAGGTTAGGGTATTCCCTATGTCTCTCTGACTTTGAAGCACCAGAAACCTTGCCTTAACTTTGAATTAACATCCAATACACTTTCTGGTGGCAATCTTGGTGCCAGTTTCACAAGCTCTGAAAAGCAGTAGCTGGACCAGCTACCAAGTTGTAAATGTGGAGCCGAGGTACAATTCCACACACCAGAGTGACTCTTGGTTTCCCTGTGACCCTGCCCTAACCGAGTAAAGTTAGGGAGGAAAAGGTACCAAAGAATGGAGGCGAGACTATGTGACAGAGAGCTGGGAGCCAGAGGCTTTGTGGGCATGTCCGGCCTCTTGTTGACCATTTCCACCTATTGGTTCACGGAGACGGCACTGACGCACACATACACATGCACACACACGTGCCGCCTCTTCTGAACTGTACATCACTGCTGAATGGCTCGGGAGACACCGCCATTCTCCCAAGGCAAAGGAGAGGCCTGTTATTCCCATGTGTGGAAAACCAACCACGGGTGGCACTGATTCTGTCTCGGGTGAGTTCTTCCTGACAAGACACAACCCAGCCTTCACACAGGAACGGCGGTGCCCTCGGCCCTACCGGTGTGGCGTGCCATGGAGAGATACCTCGCTTTATGTTTTCCTCCTTAATCTGCTTGGATGGCGTTGGGCCGAACTCCTCTTCCATGGGCCGGAACATCCGTTTAACGAGGACGCTGCTGCTGGAGAAGACGGGCGGAAATGGTGAGTACAGCGAAGAGGGCCACACACTCTGGGCTCTGCGGGCGCCTGTCCTTTCTCCGTTCACACCTCTCTTCCCCCTGCAGGCCCCAAGTCATCCCCATCAAGGGATAAAGCACACACCATCTTTAGAGGGAAGACCTAAGGCTCTATGCTGAAGATGGACCCACAAAAGTGGGAGTGATAGGCCCATCTCCCCTTTTCTGTTCAGAAGAACAGGGCCACGGAGGAGCTGGTTAATACCAGTGGCTGCGTGGCACCCAAGTTGCAGCAGCCCCTCATATCCATCAGAGGCCTGATTTCCTGGTGCTCCTGGCGGTCCCTTGGAGCACAGTAAGGGACAAGACAGGCCACCTCAGCAGAGCTCTGCTGGGGATTGTCCTGATTACCCACAGTTCTCCCTTCCCTAGTTGCCACAGGAGGAGGTGCTGAGCCCTGACCTTCTCTGATACCCGTGCATTTGTTTCCCAAGTCCCTGAGTGTTGCAGGCACACGGAGGAAAGGGAAAGACCGCATGAGAGGAAGAGACATTAGGGAAGTGAGATCAGCTATTCTTTAGTCTCAGTCCCACAGACGCGGGTCTGTGGGAAACATTAACTTCTCTGGGGATTATCTGGTCCATCACTTAGAATTCTAAGGACAGAAACTCTGAGGTCAGGCCATCTTGACTGATTTAAAATCCTTGTTTCATAGTTTATTACTGTACAAATTCGGACATGTTTCCCAACTTCCTTGGGCCTCAGTCTACTTATCTTTGGAAGGAGACTGTTGACGCAGAAATGACAATATTTGAGGAACTGGAAATATTAATCACACTGAGTTGATCATTACACACTGTGTACATGACAAATGATCATCCCATGCCCTGTAAATGAGTACAAATATTATGTACCAAATAAAAATTAATTAACTTAATAAAATGTAAAAAGAGGCTGGAGAGGGGCTCATCAGTAAGGACTGTATGCCGCTCTTGCAGAGGACTGGACTTAGGTTTCGAGCACCCATGTCAGGTGGCTCGGGCTTCTGTAAGTCCAGGTCCAAAGGATCCAACCCATCTGCCTCCATGAACATCTGCACATATGTGCACATACCCACATGCAACTTACATAATTTAAAAGAAGAAAAATTAAAAGTTTTAGAGGCAGGTCAAAGAATCTAATGAGTGTTGGGGACTCAGGGTTAGTATCAGTGAAGAGCCAGACGAAGATAAAAGATGCTAATGATCACAGACTGCAGAGGTTTCTGGGTAAGAAGTATGGAGAAGACCAGGTGAAATGCTAAGGGCAGAGGGATCAAATAGCCTTCCACAGCATCCTCAGTGTAGACTAGAGAAAACCAAAGCCGGGCCCGAGCGGCTGGCACCAGGCTTCATGAGGATAAACAGCAGTCAGGGGATGGACCCGGACTTCCTGAGCTCAAAGCCAACATTCTTTTCATGACGCCATGCTGTCTCTTATAAAATATGTGATTTAAAGATTAGAACTCTAATCATTTGTTTGTTCCAACCACTGAAATTTGATTATTTCTGTCTCAAGATAAAAAGAACAAACTAATTGTTTTTGGTTTTGAGATGGGAGTTTTACTGTGTACGCTGGGACGGCTTCAAACTTTTGTGCCTCGGCTACCTGATTTCTGGGATCACGGGCGTGAGTCACAATGCTTGGCTTTCTAATCAATACTCAGAGCACCTACAACTGATTTTAGGTTTGGTCCTGGTCAAGTTTCCAGACCTCAGCAGCTTGAGGGCCATTTAATTAGTTCCTTTGAGATTCCTCAAGGGGGCAAACTTTCTCTGTCGAGGGCCCAACAAATCTATAGACATTTCAGACTCATGCTGTAACCACTCAATCCTGCTGCTGTATCACAAACAACATTAAAGACAATACATAAGGGAGCTAACACAGATGCGTCCCAGGAAAACACCCTGCAGAGGCTCAAGGGTGCTTCATCTCATACATCATGGGATATCAATCTAAGACTGTAGGCTATTCAAAACCAGGAGAATGGGGCTGGGTGTGGTGGCATACGCCTTTAATTCCAGCACTCAGGAGGAAGATGCAAGCCTATCTCTGTGAGTCTGAGGCCAGCCTGGTCTACAGAGTTTATTCCAGGGAAGCCAACGCTCCATAGTGAGACCCTGCCCATCACACACCTTCCCCCTCTTCACACACACACACACACACACACACACACACACACCCCAAAAGAGATCTGGCCCTCAGCCTGTCCCTTGACAACTTTGGCTCCAACAATGGGGTCAACAATATCTGGTACGCTCTGTCACCAGCTATGAAATGTCTTATGTCAGATGGGGAAGCCTAGGTTTGACTGTGCACAAGGAGGAAATCATCTCGTGGTCTTAGTGGCACACACTAATACAAGCAATGGACATAAAACAGATATTGAGGAATGAATACAACTTTCTTGCTTTAAAGAGAAAAATATAGTGTTCAGCTTATAAGAAGGGAGTTCCCAATATAATTCATGTGATTCTAAAATTGTTTATCCTGAAAATCAAGCTTCAGAAGACGAAAACAAACAAACAAAAAACAACTTAGTGGTTGAGTTGGCGAGAGCTGACTTGGAGGTTAAGGGCACTGACTGCTCTTCCAGAGGACCTGGGTTTGATTCCCAGTGTCTGCAAGGCAGCTGACAATCATCTGGAACTTCAGGTCCAGGGACCCAATGCCCTCTTCTGGCCTGTGTGGGTACCAGGCATGCAGCTGGTACACAGACACACACAAAATGCCTATACACATTTATTATTTATTTAGTTGTTTAAATTTAGTGGTCTCCTATGTGGGAAATTAAGACGTTAGGAGACAAAAACCATATTTTAACTAGGGTCAGTGGCAGGCAGAAAAAGAAGTTCGAATGCTGAGGCAGGAGGAGGCTTATCCAGACAGCAGAGCAAGAACCAATGGGCGGAGCCTAAAAGCTGCTCAACAGATACAGAACGTGCTGCGACAATCTCAACTGTTAACACATGTGGAACGAGGGACCCCGAGGAGATTTGTAAAGCACACTTTTGGGTGTGTCTGAGAGGGTGTTTCCAGAAAGAGTCCATTAACTGGAGCAGACCATACCAAACATGGTGGAGTCATTCAAAGGCTGGAGGCCTAAATGACACAAAAGGGCGCATCCTATAGCTGGCAAAGACATTCTCTTTTTGTTTCCAGGCCACAAAGGGGATCAGAGTTGACATCTGCCCCATGCTCTGCCACATACCCAAATGTAATGGAGCCAACACGGTTAGCCGTTCCAAAACCAGGCGCCAAAGTACCCTTTCCCCAAACCTAATTCTAAACTCTAAAATTCTAAAAGCTGAAACCATTCAGCCTATACAAGCAAGACAATGAACTTCCTCGTATAAGAGAGCATTCCATCACTGGCAGCACGCACACACGTAGAAGGAGAAGGCAGCTCAACACCTGCCTCCCAAGAACATGCTGTAGACATTACAATGGCCTAGAAAAGAATCGTGTCACTGGCCTTAGAATAGCCCTTCAGTAACTGCAAACTCCTGAGTGCAGAAAATGAGTTAAGGATAGAAAGCACATTGAAGAGTTAGCTGTCCCTACAAACCTCCAGGGGTATATGTTCTTGGCAAAGATGGAGAGCATCTTGTCCCTGTTACACAGAGACGCTGGAAGACACTGGAGGCAACCTCTTATCTGAAGCCCACAGGGCAGTGAACAAGTTCTCAGCCTGCTCTGTCAGGTCCCAGTCAAGGACTTCACCTACAGTGAAGGCTTCAGGAGCTGTGTTGCCTTAGGAAAGTCTCTCATGCTCTCGGCTAGATTCTGTGCTGGGATCAAACCATGGGAAGGAAGCAAGAGCTATCAGAGAGATCTTAGCAAATGGAGCACTAGAAGAGATGGGTCACTTTTACTCAGGGAGACCATAGGAAGGAAGGGGGACAGAAAGAAGGGTATATGCGGAAGAAAGACAGCCACCCAGCTACCGCCACCAACAGCCCCTTGGCAGTTCTAAGTCACAAGCACACAGGAAGTCCCACCTCCTGCCCAGGGTAGTCCAGGGTCAGAAGGTCCATTGCCACCCATATAAACATTAAATGCTTAGAACGAAATGGCCATGTCTTACCCTTCTCGTTCATCATCTGCGTTGTAATACACCTGTGGGGAAAACAACAGACACATGTAGACCGGGAATGGAGCAAACCCTCTCTTAAGGAGAAAAAGATACATTAGATAAGCAATGCTTGTTCTCTCTCTGTGCGTGCATGTGTGCACACTTGTGTGCGTATGCACGCCTCTAAGGAAATGCAACCTCCTTGTATTCTCACTCAGGATGATCTTTAGATTTTATAAAGAAATTCAGAAACATGACTATTTCTAGGGAAAGTTAGTCTGGCCTAACCAGATTACTCCCGCCCTCTGCACTGACATTAAGAAAAACCAATGGTGAGATCCAAACACATTGTGTTCAGGCTGTTGGGGGATCCCTAGGTGGGCTGGCTCTTGAGTAGTCAAGAGAGCCATAGCAAGACGGCAGTAACAGGGCCTCTGTGTTTGCTCCCCAAAGGAGTCTGGCTTACTCTAGTTTCCCATAGTCACAGAAATGCAGGGTCTCAAAGAAACAAATGGCCAACTGAGGTGCCTGTTTATTTAACATACCAAAGCAGAGGCTGGCCAGTTCTCCCAGAATCCCTCAGTACCTGTGGCTCCTCCCAGCCCCTCCCAGGGGCGGGGCTTCCACTTCCCTCCTCCCAGCCTGATCCCTGTAAAGAAGCCATTTGGGCTACACTGCTCTCTTGGCCTCTTGGGTGGTGGTTCCTCTCTTGCTCTCCCTCCCCGTCTTTCCTCTCATGGTCTGGTTTAGACTGCCAGCCATGTTCAGCCTGGACTCTTCCCTCTACCTGCTTTCTCCCTTACATCTACGATAAAATCTTCTCCATACTTTAGGAGTAGCCATGTCCTCCTCCTTTAATTTCATTTCTTCATTCATTATCTACCTTCAGGCTGTAAAGGTCACGTGGCAAAGAGTAGCCTTCCAAAGGCAAGTGTTGTTAGAACTCAGGGGCAAGCACAGTCAATTTGTGAAGCCTCCTGCTGGGCAGCGGTGGCACACACAGAGGCAGGAGGATCTCTGTGAGTTCAAGGCCAGCCTGGTCTACAGAGGGAGTTCCAGAACAGCCAGGGCTGTTACATAGAGAAACCCAAACCAGAAAGGAAAGCAAGGAAAAGGAAAGGAAAGGGAAAAGGAAAAGGAAAAGGTGAAGCCCCCTTCCGAATAATGGAAAAGTACAGAGGGTCCCTTGTGGTAGTGTAGGCTCTTACCCCTGTTATTTCTAAAGCTTAACAGTGGGCCTTTTGTGAATTGCATCTGTGTATGTGTGTGGGTGGTCAAGAATACCCAAATCAGTTTTGAACATTCATGTAGTCTCTTCTAAAGCTGGCACTGTCCCTGCCCAATTTGGACCTTGGCAGCCTCCCTCCCTTACCCTCTCAGGGCTTCCAGCAGCACTGGGGGTGTCGACAAATCCAGGCCTAGTTACATAACGAACAAAGGTATCGGAAATGCTCCTGAGTCATTCTAGCGAGCAGCTCGGATGTGGAGAAGAACTCTGTCCTCTTAGACTTTTTTATGACTATTGTTATATTGGATCTTGTTTCTTTTTAAACAGAAAACCATGAATGTAAAAGCTTTGTGTTCAGCACCCCAAGGTTCAGTGCAGCATCCTTCTGCCTCAAGAACCTCTTCAGTACCTAGCTCTTCCCAGAAAGCAACATTTAAAAGCTCCAGATAACCTCTGTTCCATTCTTCTGCTTTGCAAAGTGATTGACAGCAGGCTATTCACAGGTCAGACAAGTGACAGCCAAGTGTAGCTGCCCAGACCTCCAGTAAGGCGCATTTCTGACACTCACTCTGAATCCAGGGTCACAGGGACCCCAGGGTGCTGTGAAGTAGGCTTAGGTCAAGCAGTACCAAGCCGCCAGGCTGCTCTGCCTGGTGAGGACAACAAACTCTCCAGGTCACGTTTCCTCAGAGTCTGCCTTGGGGCATGACGCTGAGGGGTGGGTGGGGCTATGAGACCAACCAGGCTGGGACACTATTCCTCTTGAGATTCATTTAGGGCTTTGTGTATTTCAGAGACATCTTGCCAAGAGATTACACATCAGGCAACTTTCAAGGGTGACGTGGCACCACAGCCAGAGTTGTGACCGGAAGCAAAAGGGTTTAACTCTGTTAGCTATTGCTCTTCTGCAAGATGTGGGGACCTCACTCCCAGCTACAGGCTTGGGAACATTTTAAAAAGGGGACAGAAAACACACACACCATACACACTCACATACACACCACACATACACACAACTCACACACACACACACTCACATACACACATTCTTGCTGTCTTCTCTGAACAGTATTAATCCTTTCCTATGTCTTGGTTTCAATGGAATAAGGCAAGATAGAAATGTAAAATACTTCTTAGCAGAAACGCACTCCACACAGAAAGCATGGGTATAGTTATCACTACATTTTTTTTCTTTTTTCTTTTTTCTTTTTTTTTTTTTTTGAGACAGGGTTTCTCTGTGGCTTTGAAGCCTGTCCTGGAACTAGCTCTGTAGACCAGGCTGGTCTCGAACTCACAGAGATCCGCCTGTCTCTGCCTCCCAAGTGCTGGGATTAAAGGCGTGCGCCACCATCGCCCGGCTTTATCACCACATTTTATCATGAACAGGGAGAGACGCTCACACATGCCCACGTGGGTACACGTGCGCACACACATGCACAGACACACATACATACATACACACACACATGCGCGCGCGCGCACGCGTGCACACACACACGTGCACACACACATGCACAGACACTCATGTGTGTGTGCACACACACACTAAAGTCCTCTCGTTGTATAGCTGCCCCATCACTACATCAAACATTCTCCAGAAAGAGGAGACCCCAGCAATATTTCTCCTTCAGACTGAGGTCCACCCCAGCACTCAGAGTGGGAGGGGCCTTGAGTCTACCTTTATGCTTCTATTTCTCAAAACAGTCCTTTCACCCAAGGACTCTGGATCCAAAAGAGAACCAATCAATGCAAAATTAAAATCCCAGTTAGTGTGGCCAAAGCCACTCTGGCCGACACTAAGGAACCTCTTTTATTTTTCTCCACCCTTAATGAAGAAAAGGGAGAAACTTTCCCTTGCAGAGGGCTCAGCCATCACCAGCTCAGCGGGCAGCTCAGCTCAGCGGCCCTGGAGCACAGGACGCAGACACACTGGTACCCTGCTTTTTGTTTTCATCGGACAATATCATAATTAGTTCTCCTGCAGATATATAGTGTTCATCACTGAGCTCGCAGCTTCTGCCTACACTTCCACAAAACTAAGCAGTCATGACCTATCGAACATTTATTTGGTTTTAAATCCTTCATGGCATTTGAAAATAAAACCATAGAATTTAGGTTTTTGAAGGAAGAGCTACTATATGATTTCTTCATCCTTCAGATGAGAAACAATTTATTCATTCAGTGAATATTAATTACTATTAATTACTTAGGAAAAAATTGTTGACAAGATCTTCATCCCACCTCCCCCACAAATGTGGGAAGTTATTGATAGTTTTACTTTTCACCACTAGGTGGCGGTGTGTGCCCTGATAGCGCTGCTAGACTCAGCAGAACTTACAGGCAGAGCTTTCTCCTGTTGCTTTGTCTACAATTTTCTAATGACAGCTCACACTTTCTTTGCCTTAGAATGTGAATATTTTCTCAAGATAGTCTTTTCTGGAAAAAGAAAGAAATCTTTTTGTACGCAATGGTACCGACTTTCCTGTGCTGCTAGACACGAGGGTGTTTATTTGGGGTCGGCTCTGCCAGAGCGCCAACACAGGCGAGGAGGGCGCCAGGAGGGCTTGAGCAGGGGTCCTACCTGTCCAGTCCTCTGCAGGTTTGCGAAGTGAACATCCGGGATGAAGAGCACGGGCTGCGAGTGCAGGTCGGGCATGGTTTTGAAGTAGGTGATGTCACTCTTCTTCTGTAAAGGCATGGCGGCCAGCTTCCCGTCAGAGGCTGCGGGCAACCACAGAGTCCACCATCAGGGTTCCGTGTGGCTGAGAATGCTCGGCCATATTCTCCCCAGAAGCTTTCTCGGCGCCCTAGACATGACTATGCGTTGAGCGCAGGCTTCCAGGAAGTTCTGCAGGAGGAGTGAAAGTTCCTCCACTTCCTGCTGCTCGCCCTGGAGTCCTGGGTATGAGACTTTTCCATATGAAGGACCCCATCTCCCCACCCAACACCAAGTGCGACCCCAAGCCTCTCCCCTTTCCCCACTCCTGCAAGGGCAAAGCAGGCCATCTCTTGGGCATTTCTTTGCACCTTCCCCTGCAGACAGCCTCCTTCTGCCTGTCTTCCCATAGGACCCTGCTCGCTGGGATCTCCCCTTAGCACAGGCAGTCTTGGGGTAAGGGTGGGGGTGACTCACAGTTGTTGCACTGGCTTTGGGAGGCCTGGCCCTTCCCTTTCTTCCTGTTCTGTTTTCTTTCTTCATCTCGGATTTTTCTTTCTGCTCCCTGACAGGGAAAGCAAGGAGAGACCAAGCAAGGTATGTTCTCAGAGCATGCAAGGATATTGACACACACACACATACACACATAAACAAACACACACACACACAAACATGCACCATGAAGATGGGAAGCCTCGGTTCCCTCCCTGTGGTGCAACCCTCAGATCTGTAGGCTGCACTCTTGACCTGGGATAGATGCCGACTGACCCAGCTTGCCTCCTCTTTCTGTCTTACACCTATTTCATGACCGTGAGTTTCGAATCCACAAGGAAAGCGCCAGCTAACTTTTCTAGCTAGGTGTCGCCTACCGAGTAACTCAGTGCCCTAACAGAGTCTCCGAGGCCCTGGCACATTGAGTCTGGGACAAGACAGACATCCTCCCTTCTGCAAGAGGCTCTCCAAAATATGCATGCTTGGAATGGGAAAAGGCAGCATTGTGAGGTGCATACAGGGCACTTAGCCATGTGTAGGGAGCTCTGTAGAATTTAGTGTTCTACTAAAACAGATTTGGGTCTTGCTCCTGCTCTGACTTCATGCTGTGATGGACTGTGACCTGGAAGTGTAAAATGAAATAAACCTGTTCTTCCATAAGCTGCTTTAGGTCGCCCGTGTTATCACAGCAGACGGCGGGGTGATCTGAGGAGAAATGCTCCCACAGCTTGGGGATTTGGAGACTTGGTGATGATGTTTGGGAAGGTGGTAGGTTTTCTGGAAGAAGTGCACTATGGGGGTGGGTGTTGAGAGTTTAGGGCCTCACCCACTTCCAGTTTCTCTCTTTGCTTTATGTCTGCACTGAACATGATCTCTCAACCTGCTCCAACTTTGATACACGCTGTTCGCTGCTACACCTCACCTACCAAGATAAACTCTCAACCCTCTGCACCCAGAGCCAGAGTAAACTCTTCAACAATTGTTTTGGGCATGGTGTTTTATCACAGCAAGAGAAAAGTAAGTAATACAGAGGGATACAGCCCAAGAAAATTTACTTTTAAATTAGGGTATTGTTTATACTGCTCTACGAGAGTAGTCCGGAATTGTTTTAAAAATTATTGCCGCCGGGCAGTGCCACTGAGCAAGCAGAGGCAGGCGGATCTCTGTGAGTCTGAGGCTAGCCTGGTCTACAGAGTGAGTTCCTGGACAGCCAGTGCTACACAGAAAAATTCTGTCTCAGGAAATATGTGTGTGTGTGTGTGTGTGTGTGTGTGTGTGTGTGTGTGTGTGTTCCTTCTCTTCTGGAAAACACCATATGGCAAATGATGCAGATGCAGTGGGAAGACCCAGAGAGCAGGCTGGGAGGCCACAGAGTCCTCTGCAGGGATCAGGTTGGTTCCAGGACTGAGGTAGTAGAGGCCTCAGGGCTTGTGGAGGTAAAGCGAAGACCTGGAGTGGATCCCTACCACCACACTGGGTCACCTGGAGTCCCTGGAGATCCACCTGTTCTCCCTACCCCTTTAAGGAACCTAAGATTACTGACTTTTTTCTAGATGCATCCCTGAAGGACTGGGTTCTGAAGACCACGCCCGTACAGACGCTGCTATGAGGACCAGGTTCAAGGCTGTGGTCACTATTGAGGACTGCAGTGGTCATGCTGACCTGGGTGTTAAGTGGTCCAAGGAAGCAGTCACTGCCTTTCCAGGAGTCATCTTGGCCAAGCTTTCCATTGTCCCTGAGTGGAGAGGCTACCGAGGGAACGGCCCCACACTGTTCCCTGCAAGGTGACAGGCTGAAGTGGTTCTGTGTTGGTGCGTCTCATCCCTGCCCTGAGCGACTGGCATCATCTCTGTCCCGTGCCCAAGAAGCTACTTATGATGGCTGGTGTTGATGACTGCTACACATCAGCACTGCCACCCGGGGCAACTTTGCCAAGGCCACCTTTGATGCCATCTCCATGACCTATGGCTACCTGACCCTCACAGGGACTGAACTCCTCGGTCTTAGGCTCCAAACCCCCAAACTGTAAAGATAGGTTTCTATTGCTTACACCACCTAGCCTGTGGTATTTTGTTTTAGCAGCCTGAGGACTAAGCCATAGGCCAATGCCAGCCACTAAATTAATGGTTAGAAGGGCAGACATGCTGAGAATAGCAGCAGCCAAGACAAAGGGCAGCAGACTGGGGATACCTTGACTATCTAATAGGCCCTGGGAATGAAAGACTAGCACTCCCGTGTGGTTGAGAAATAATTCCTTAGACACGAACAGACAAGGGAGGAAGACCATCAAACAGCATCCAGTAATAACCAGAGTACCTTCCTGACAAGCTGCTGTCTTTGCTCACCTTGTCACAGAAGACCTTGATCTGGCAGTATGCTCTGTGGATGGGTTTATTGCTGCGGTTGTTGTAACTGTATGTGTCGATCTGAATCATCAAAGGAAGCCCTTTCACGCCCTTTTGGGAGGAGAAATCTGTACTCAAGCAATTCACGGTGATGAAAATCTGGAGGAGGGAGAAAAAGAAGAAAGTTCATGAACTGCCATACAGAGGATCTCCAGAGTGACGGCGAGCAGACGTGTGGAGCGAAAGTCTGACGTGAACCTATCAGGACAACGACAGATGTTCAATATCTTCCCATAGACCCTGCTGAACGTACAAATGTATGTAGTATTTGGCTGTAAACTTCTCTTTTTTCAAGACAGGGTTTCTCTGTGTGGCTCTGGCTGTCCTGAAACTCACTCTGTAGACCAGGCTGGGCTCAGACTCAGTGTGCCACCTGCCTCTACCTCCTGAGTGCTGGGATTAAAGATGGGCCCTACCACATCCTGGCAAGAAAGGAAAAAAAAGCCCAGTGGTGGCACACACTCAGGTAGAACTCTGAGTTCGAGGCCAGCCTGGTCTACACAATGAGTTCTAGGACAGCCAGGGCTACAAAGAGAAACCCCGGTTAAAAAATAAATATTCACTAGAAACTTCTGAACAATTTGCTTACATATCAGACCTTTAAATAGACAATTTAAATAGCCTTACGGAAAGGACATCAGCAAAGCCGCACTCTCTTAGCCATGAGTGAGTTAATTAAAACCCTGCTTTCCCCACATATCAGTGATCCCTTCTGGAGCTGGAGACAGCGCAGCAGCAAGAGCACCTGCTGCTCCTTCAGAGGAACAGGGTTTGGGTCCCAGGGCCCAGGTGGTGGCTCATAATTGATGTAACTCCAGTTCTAGGAGATCTGACACCATCTTCTGGCCTCCTGTTAGCCAGAAGTGGTGGCACACACCTGTAGTCCCAGTCTTCTGTGTGCACGTGGCATGCATGCGTACACTCGGGCACACTTTCATTAAGTTAACTATGCATACATGCGTGTGTACACTCGGGCACACTTTCATTAAGTTAACTATGCATACGTGCATGCATACACTCAGGCACACTCTCATTAAGTTAACTATGCATACGTGCGTGTGTACACTCAGGCACACTTTCATTAAGTTAACTATGCATACATGAGTGTGTACACTCGGGCACACTTTCATTAAGTTAACTATGCATACATGCATGCGTACATACACTCGGGCACACTTTCATTAAATTAATTAAAGAAGTTCCCTTCCCCCACTTTAAATTTTTTTTACAAGGCAGGATTTCTGTAGCTTTGGAGCCTGTCCTGGAACTCGCTCTTGCAGACCAGGCTGGCCTCGAACTCACAGAGATCCACCTGCTTCTGCCTCCCAAGTACTGGGATTAAAGGTGTGCGCCAACACTGCCCAGCTAAGTTGTCATTTCTAATAGTATAACTTTCCCTAGCCTCTGACCTGCAAGACTAAAAAGCAAGAAAGCAGGAAAGGAAGGAAGGGAGGGAGAGAGGAAGAGAGGGAGGGAAGGAGGGAGGGAGGAAAGATTGAACTAGAAAAAACTTCCGTTTTAATCCAGCAGTATTAAAACCTCGTTGTATTTATATAAAACTTTGTTTTCCTAGACTGGGAAGCGTGGGAGCTGGGATAATTGATTATTTAATCTGACAGGCACCTAATGTAATGCCTAGCAAAGAACAGAGACTCACAAAGCTCTAGATAGATGACCTATCCTGCAGAAAGCCCACTAGATGAGAGTCAAAAGCCCAACTGCAGCCCCTACTCGAGCACTGGACAGCTAAGGGACCTCAGACAGGTCACTCAACATTTTCAGCTTTCCACGGTCCCATTAAAGCACCTGAAAAGCCTCTGCCGGCAGAAGAAACCTGAACACCAATCTCCAAAAGGGAGAGGATAGGAGCTGGCAATGGAAGGAAATGGAAAGTAACAGCAGTATCGGCTGCCTCCCATCGGCAGGAAGTGGCAGTACACCCGCCATCCCAGAAATCAGGGGCCTGAGTTAGGGGGATCGTGAGGCCCAGTGCAACCTGGGAAATAGAGCAAGGTTCTGCCAGAGGGAGAGAACAAAATCCTCACAGCATGTGGCATCAAGAAATACAAAATAAAAACTTTTAAAACCTTCAAACAAAAAACAAAAACAAAACACCTATAATAGAAATGACGGGAGCCCAGTAAGGTGGGAAACTCTAGCCCGTTTTTTAAGGTTCCGTTTGATTAACCGAATAAAAACGAGTTTCACTGTAAAGGGTGTAGAGACAGAGGACGGGTGTAAATGAGCGATTAAATCGGCGAAAATGACCCTCGTTCTACACAATGACGGGTCACAGTCAAAAGATGCCCTTTGTCATAGTTTAGATCTGTAATTCTCCAGAGACTAGGGTGTGAGTGCTAACTGAGGCTGGGAGGTGCACTGACCGGGAACTAGGTCTCCAAGCCTTTGAAGGTTACAGCCAGCCCCTGCTTCTCGGCCTCCCGGCTCCCTTGATGTGACAGCCCCTGACACATGCCCCTGCCATGATGCATCCCAGCCACAATGGACTGAAGCCTTCTGAAACTCAGAGAAGAGAGAAAAACCAACACCTCTCTTCCAGCAACCGTTCTGGTCACAGACACACAAGAAACTGACACACGGTTTCAAGATGATTCCCATCAGGACGACACAGAGAAACCCTGTCTCAGAAAGGGAAGGAGAAAAAAAGAGAAAAAGAAAAGATTCTGGTGAGAATGACAGAAAAACAATAAAAGTCACCGGGGAAGAACAGGGCATGTATTTATTATGTATAACACAACTTTTCAAAAGTTCTGACCCCTGGGCTTTTGATGGATGTCAAAACCTAGACCTTTCGTGTCCCTGTGAGATGCCCAGGATGACATCCCTACAGGGTGACAAAGACCTTCCATTTCTCCTAAGCACCGTCCTGCTGCTTGAAGCCCCACAGGCGTGGGTAATTTGCACCACCGGGCATCTAATTTCCAAGGCTTTACACCTCTTTATGCACTGTGACCCCCCCCCTTGTAATCTCGGGTGCATTAGCAAGGCACCGGGACAGCCGACAAGTTTCTGTGCCAATCACCACAACTTTGCCAGCTGTGCCACAGGCACCCGCCTTTCCAGCCTCCACCTAAAAAAACGAATCACTCTAGACTTTTTCTGTCTCATCAGTAGAAAAGATCTAGAGAGATCTAGTGTGTGGGTGCTTTGAGAGGTTGATTGGATTTGTGTTTAAGAACTAAATTTTTCCCCGTTTCTTTGGTTTTGAGACAGGCTCCGCCTCTGTAGCCCAAGGTCACTGGGACTTGGGACTCGCTCTTTAGAACCAACTGGTGTTAAACATATGATCCTCTCAATTCAGCCTCTTTAGAGCTGGAATTATAGGCACCATGCCCAACAAGAATGAGTGAATTTTAGCTCCTTTACACACAGACACGGGTGCACGTGGGCACATGCAGAACACACACACACACGCATGAAGGGAAAGGATAACTGTATAAGGCAATAAATATGTTAATTTCCATACCTTATTCTTCATATGGACCCTGTAATATCATTTGTGTATCTTAAATAATAAGATATTATTTAATTTATATTAATTTTATATTAATGAAAGATACCTTATATATATATACTCATTTCACTCATGTATTCTTTCCATTCATTTATTCTGTCTATAAGAATCCATGGAAACACAATGGATCATACAGTGTTGGGACATTAGAAATAGAGACAGATGCCAAGTCTGCCTCGTAGAGCTAACAGCTCAGGGGAGGATGGAGCAAGTATTCAGCAATGACCATCAGACAGCGGCCCAGGAGAAGTGTGAGCAGAGGCCCCAGGCACGAAGTTCTTAGCCTTGAGGATACGAGTTAGATATAAGCCACAGGAACACAGGCTTGAGCAGGAGCCTCACAAATTCTAAGGAACAGGGGCGAGGAGGGGGTGAGATCAACAAAGACGCAAATGCCTGAGTAGTGGGGACTCTTAAACACTATGACCGTCAGGAGGCTTCCAGAGTAGAAGCTGGTTGTCCCTAACAGTCATGGTAACAGAGAATGCTACCTCCAGCCTTGGAGAGCCCCTGAGTGGCAGAGAAATTCTATTTAACACTCCACTCAAGAGGCAAATGTTTTCAAATGCCTTGAGTTTCCTGAGGCTGTGCTAGCACAAACATATAAGCTACGGGCCCATGAACCACAACAGACAGGTGGGATGGGGTGAGAAGCAACGTGCTGGTTGGTGCCTTAGAGATTACAATGGCTTCATTGACCATTGATTTGCATGTCAGGAAAGAGGTGTCCTTTTCTGGGGACACTTGACTTTTTACTGCTGGCAATGCGGCTATCTTGGCCAGAATGCAGCTTTGTGTCAGCAAATTAAATGTTCACTCTGCTGAACCGTATGGTTGTCCCTAATTCCGGCCATGTGTTTCACAGAGATCTTCCTGATGGCGGCACCTCAGTACTGTGTGTGTGTGTGTGTGTGTGTGTGTGTGTGTGTGTGTGTGTTTCCCCCACTCTGTGAAAAGGCCTACCTAGTAGAAGAGAAGCTAATGTTCTGGTGGACATTTCCTACGTGACTGGGCTTTATTCATGGTGGGCTCTAACTTACACGCCCATTCACTGTGGGTCTACATGCTAAGTAGAAAGAAGGTGCTAATTACGATCTCTCTGCTGCAAGTCTAAGAGAGCTAGAGCAGTAGATCATTACTACTTACAAGGACCACTTAAGTAGCCTGGTCATCGACAGCCAATGGGATGCTCACTGACAATGTACCACGATAAATAGACTCAATCGTCCTTGCAGAAGCTATAAAAGTCAGTCACCCGGGACACACGGTCCTTAAAAGTCAATTGAGTTCCATGGGGAGACATTTAGACTCAATGCTCTTAAAATAGAAAGGGTCTCCACAGAGACCCCGTGTGGCACAGATTCGAGGCATCCTGATCCCATAAAAGGTAACCTGCAGGAGTTTGCCTTCTGTGCAACCCTGCGCTGGCATCTCAGTGAGTGGAGCAGACAGGGTGCAATGTTCTGCTCAGCACCGCTCCTTCTCCTGCAGACAGAGCCCACGGAAAGAGCTGGCAGTGCCTAATGGCATCCATCTCAGCCCGGCTGTGCCACACTCAGAATCC